TGAATCCTAACAAGTTCACACAAAGATTCTTTGTCAGGTGCATCACGTCGATTACGTTGCGGACCTCTAGGACTTGCCAATAGGGTAGCTCCCAAAAGATAGACTTCTTCTTCCACATGGATGCGTGTCCCTTAGCATCTTTGGGAACAGATTCGTTGTCTTGTCCCTTTCCAAATACTACTTTCACATCCTTGATCATTGCGAGTACATCTTCCCCGGTTCGGTTATGAGGCTTCTTCCGGTGGTCTGGCTTACCTTTAAAATCCTTCCCTTTCTTTCTTGGTGATTCAAAGGAAGGAATCGACGATGGTCAAGGTACATGACCTTTCGACATCTTTTCAAATATATACTGTCAAGGTCATCAAAACAATGTGTGCATGCATTATATCCTTTATTTGTCTGACCTGAAAGATTACTTAAAGCAGGCCAATCATTGATTGTTACGAACAACATTGCTCGTAGGTCAAAGTGTTCTTGTTTGTACTCATCCCAGACACGTACACCTGGATTGTTCCATAAAACTAGAAGTTCTTCAACTAATGGCTTCAGATAGACATCAATGTCGTTGCCAGGTTGCCTCGGACCTTGGATGAGGATCGGCATCATAATGAACTTTTGCTTCATGCATAACCATGGAGGAAGGTTGTAGATACATAGAGTAACTGGCCAAGTGCTATGACTAGTGCTCTGCTCCCCAAAAGGATTTATACCATCTGTACTTAAGGCGAACCTTAAGTTTCTAGCCTCATTTACAAACTCTGGAAATTCCATGTCTATCGCTCTCCACTGGGACCCATCAGCTAGGTGTCTCAGCATATTGTCTACCTTACGGTCTTCTTTATGCCACTGCAACAACTTTGCATGGTCTTTATTTCTGAACAAACGTTTTAAGCGTGGTATTATAGGAGCATACCACATAACCTTGGTAGGGATTTTCTTTTTAGGACGTTGTTCACCCTCGACGTCACCAGGATCATCGCGCCTGATCTTATACCGCGATGCTTTACATACCGGGCATTCATCCAAATTCTCGTATTCATTGCCATGGTAGAGGATGCAGTCATTAGGACATGCATGTATCTTCTAAATTTTTAATCTCAAAGGGCAAACAACCTTTTTTGCTTCGTACGTAGTGGTGGGCAATTCATTTGGCTTCGGAAGCATCTTCTTTATGAGGTTCAATAAATTCCTAAATGCCTTATCGGATATATCATTCTTTGCCTTCCACTGTAGCAATTCCAGTGTTGTACCTAGCTTTTTTTGTCCCTCTTCGGCCGTCGGGTATAGCAACTTCCTATTATCCTCAAGCATGCGCTCGAACTTAACTTTCTTTTTTTCACTTTCGCATTCTTGTTGTGCATCACGAATGGCATCGCCAAGAGCATCACCAAGATCATCTTCTACCGCTACCTCTTCTTCATCTCCCCCCATTGTAGTATCATCAAAGGCACCATACTGAGCAATAATGTCATCAATGTCTAAATCTTCTCCTTCATCTTCTTCCATCATGACCCCGCTTTCTCCATGCTTAGTCCAACATATATAGTTTGACATGAAACCTGACTTAAGTAAATGTGAATGAAGACTCATTGAGCTTGAATATTCCTTTAAATTCTTACATAGGGCACATGGACATCACATGAAACCATCCCGCTTATTTGCCTCGGCCACACCTAAGAAATAGTGCACGCCCTCAATAAAGTCTTGGGAGCGGCGATCGGCATTGTACATCCAATGGCGTGACATAATCTGCATTACACGACAAATTATGAAAACCTTGAACATAATTAAGTATTTTATTACACAACATAGATGACACACACACGGTTGATTAATTAACTAAGCCTGGCTACAACGTAAGCAATTCCAACTATCACTAAACAAACTAAAACTACAATGCACTTCAATAACATAATTATTTTGTGACCGTACGTAACCAAAACAGACAAATCATTCGTCTGTTGAATATCAATAAGCTTCTCCTGCTGGCTCACTGCCTCATCATCAGCAGCTGCTACCTCAAGCGCACCCGAATTCTACACGTATGTAGCATAATCTTCCTCCTAGTACCAACCATCGCATCCATTGCCCTCCCACTGAAATTAAAGCCAAAAAATATTTAGTCAAAAATATTCAAGAAAAGCAGATCAATTAGCCATAATAATCAAATGCGTAAAAAACTCACATCGTGATCCAGGCACTTGTAGAAAACACGACCCTTGTTGGGTCCCTGTCTCTTGACTCGGTACTCCATCACAATCTTCTGCTTACACTTGCCGTAGATAATGAGAGGGAGTTCTGGCCTCAGTCGTTTCACAACCGAACGAGAGGCCGAGGATACGGTACCAGTTGTCATCTACTTTCTATACTTATTTTTGCAAACTAGTGTAAATTTCACATTTTCTAAAATAATATATTTAAACAAAACTAAAATTATTTATTTATCTAACTAAACCATGAAATATGTACTATATATAATAGTAAAATACCAAACTATCAAGTGATTTTACTATTGTAAATCATCATGTGATTTTGAGCTAAAAATGACATAGAAATCACATAGCTCAAAAACATGTTTCAATAAATAACCATCCGTACTAGTTGACCTTGCTTACGTGATCATCTCGGCGAGCATTTCTCCACCGGACGGCACCGTACTTGACCAAGAAAGAGCTCCGATTCTACGAGGAAGGGAACACGGTCTTCCACGACCGTTGCCGCTCTCCCTCGTAGAATCAAAGCTCCTCCTTGACGTCCGTTACCGCTCGGCAGAGAACATGCTCGCCGAGATGAACACGGTCCGCAAGTTCAACTAGTACGGTTTTTCTATAATTTTCTAATTTTTTTATTTCATGAAAATTTTAATTCTAAAAAATAAAAGGCATGATTTCTAAGTATTTCATTTCATGGAAAAAATAATTCTAAGTGACCTGCTCGATATCGGCGAGCTCACGGGCGTTTAGGTTGCCGAGGATAGTAACATTTGTAGATGACATTTGTAGGTCTGAAGTTATCAAATATCCATCAAATTATAGCTTAAAAACATGTTTCAATAAATAACCATCCGTACTAGTTGACCTTTCTTACGTGATCATCTCGACGAGTATTTCTCCACCGGACAGCACCGTACTTGGCCAAGGAAGAGCTCCGATTCTACGAGGAAAGGAACACGGTATTCCACGACCGTTGCCGCTCTCTCTCGTAGAATCAAAGCTCCTCCTTGACGTCTGTTACCGCTTGGCAGAGAACATGCTCGCCGAGATGAATACGGTCCACAAGTTCAAATAGTACGGATTTTCTATAATTTTCTAAGTATTTTCTAAGTTTTTCATTTCATGGAAAATTTAATTCTAAGATCACGTAAGATTTTGATGAACTAATTTAACTTTTGTTTATCCAAACATATATGCAAATCATCATGTGATTTTGAGCTAAAAATGACATAAAATCATAATAAAGTCCAACATATAAAGTTACACATACATCTACATCGCAAAATGAGATAAGCTACTGATAAAACATAAGAGGATTAAGTTTGTTACCTCCAAAATCGAAGAGCAACATCAATGGAGGGGGAGAGAGCAAGAACAACAGCAAGCTGAAGAACAGAGGCAGTGAGTTTGAATAGAATGGCTCGGTCTCGGGGAGGAAGAAATGAGCTGGTTTATAGGCCGGAATAATTAGTCCCGGTTAGGGAGCCAAACCGGGACTAAAGATTAATCTTTATTCCCGGGGCATCATCCAAACCGGGACTAAACGATTTAGTACCTTTAGTCCCGGTTGGTAATACCCTGCCCCGCGGACGACCGTTGGGCAGGAAACTTTAGTCCCGGTTGGTATTACCAACCGGGACTAATGGAACATTTAGTCCCGGGAGCAAAAAATGCCGAGGCTAATGCTAAATTGGGACATCGTTCTAAAGTCTGTTCTCTAGTAGTGTAACGCGGCGTCAGCGGTTCTGCTTTGGCACGCAGTGCCCGCTGTTGTTTGCCGTCATCTCCGACTCCCAGGTGTTCGGCCGGGCTCAAGTACGACTCCACGCTCAGCAACTTCGGCGCCGTGGCGAGCCCCGTGGGGCCCTTTTGAGTTTTCTTTTTTTTTTTAAGGAAAATTCACCGTTGGTCCCTAAACTTGACCGGCGGTGTCATATATGTCCTGAACTTTCTAAAGTGATATATGTGGGTCCCTGAATTTGGCAGACGGTGTCATTCAGGTCCCTAAACTACAGCAGGTCCGTAAACTTGGCTGGCGATGTCATCCCTAACCAAATATAATAATATTAAAAGTTGTGTTGCGGCGGTGTATGCTTGTTAAAAAGTATAGATTTAGGAAGCATAAACATAAATAAATCTATAACTAAGTTATACATGATCCAATGAGTATGAAATTTTTCCTATAGTTTAAGCATACAATAATTAGCACACCATAAAAATTTCACCACAATTGGACCATAGAAACTGCAGCTATGAATTAATTACAGAAAAGCATAGATCTAAAGTTATAATAAAAAATTTATACTAAAGCATACCATATTATATGTTCACTGTGTAGATCTACTCATGTGGAGTCCAACAAAATTGGTTTTTTCATTTTATGATTTTTTTTCTATGATTTACTATGATTTTTCAAAGATTCAACCGAAATAAATAAAAAAAACAAAGATAAAACCGCCTTTAAAAATCGCTTATAACCGGTCATGGAGGTAAAACGAACGGTTTTAAAAGTTCAGGGAGTTGGTTTATCTGGTTTTAGAGTTCGGGAGGAAAAGTAGATTTTCGCAAAAGTTGAGGAGCTACTTTTTTTTCCTTCTTGGAACGCGCCCCAAACATCTGGATGAAGCGCGGGCGTGCAGATTTGGCGGCCCAAAGCACCCCAAGCATGAAGCATCCCCAGGCTGGGCCGGCCCGGGAACTGTGATCAATCACCTCGTCTTGCTCGTGCTGGACACGCTTTGTTTCCGCCGCCGCCCTTCCGCCGTCGTGAGTTCGCCGCCGGGATAGATGGGTTTCGTCGGCGACACGGTGGAGTCGATCCGCTCGATTCAGGTCCGCCACGTGCTCTCGCAGATCATCAGCCTCGGTAGGCGACTCTCTCTGCTACCTCTTCTTCTTAGTATATGACCATGGTTTTGTTTCCGCGGGAGCCTTGAGTGTAGTTCTTGGGTTGTGGTTGGGTCGATTCCAGTAGGGTTTTAGTGGGTACTACCGATTCTATTCAGAATTTTGGGTGGATTTTGGCATGTAAGATCGGGGGCGTCGGTTCTTCATCTGCTGCCTCCGTCTTTAGAAGAGGCGAAGAGCAATTGCATTGAATGACAGACAACAGTCGCAATGAGCTGAACTGGGATTCTTCCTCCTCCCTGCTTCGTTTAATGTTGTAATGTGAATTATTTATGCTCTCTCGTTGAATGCCTATACCTACACCATTCTCTGCCTGCAAGAGAATTTTGTATGAGAAATCTGTGATATTCAGGGTATGGGGAAAGTGTCACTTTCTGCTACCACGTTATCTAGCTTTGTTAGTTACTGGTTGGAGTATTGCTTGCTGCAATTAGGCATTTTCACTTTTGCTTGCAAACATGATGGAGTTTTAGCTTTTAGATTTTCCTCTTGGCAGGTATGATTGTGACCTCGGCATTGATCATATGGAAGGGATTGATAGTTGTGACGGGGAGCGAGTCTCCGGTGGTAGTGGTTCTTTCTGGTAGCATGGAGCCTGGATTTAAAAGGGTTTGTTATCTCCTTAACAAATTAGCATTGAGCTTACATGTTGTGTACTTTCATGATATTTACGCACTGGATGGTTTTTCACTGGATGTGTAGCTGCTAGCACATGTGATGGGGTACTGTGATACCGGTGGTTTATCACTCTGGACTGTGGCCTTGGACTTTAGTCGTATGGCTCATGCATTTTTCTCCTTCCCATGACAAAATACCTCTCTACTAATGGTTTTCATCGACCAGGATTAGTTGGCTCCAGTCTAAAATCTAAGTTACAGAAACTACTAGAGGGAACTTTCCATTTTTCTTATCACATAGTATATGAGTGTACGTTTTTCATTTTCACAAAAGGGATAATACAAATGTATCTGGTCCCTAGGTTCTGGTAGTTTGCACATGGTGAATGACTGCATAATTTCTTTAAGCTCTAGAATTCTGGCCTCAGTTATCCCTAGATTTTTCCTTTTTAAGATATGTGCCACTCTAGTTGCTGATATGTTATTGTACATATTATCTACTGCTTCGATTTGACTCCAAGGTTCATTATCTGTATCCTTATGAAGTGCCAGCATCTTTCACACCAGTATGTGAGGATGGTTAATTATCTTCTTTACAGGGTGATATCCTGTTTTTGCACATGAGCAAAGATCCTATCCGCACAGGAGAAATAGTTGTTTTTAACATCGATGTAAGTCTACTGCTTAGTTGTGAATAAGCAGCTGAATCATGAATTCATTAGTTTTCTCTACACCTCATTGTAGTGTCTAATGTGTGCTTACACAATCCTTTGGAAACACTAAAATATCATTTGGCTGTTATCTTTGTAGGGCCGTGAAATTCCAATTGTTCACCGTGTAATTAAGGTAATGGATATTCATTCACAGTTCAAGTCGCCCAATGACTTTTACCTTGGATTTTGTGTCTACTTTTTTTTGCTGGTTCAGTTTATTTATTACTCTTCTGTCTCTATAGGTCCATGAACGTCAGGACACTGCAGAAGTCGACATCCTGACAAAAGGTGCCATTTCTTATGTGGTCAATGTTTTTTTTGTAATTGTACTACTACTCCCTAGTACTATGTAATTAAGAAAATGTTAACAAACAACTGCCAACACATGATGTACTGTACATGTCTATGCAATGTATTTTATTAATATAAGCTACCTTTCAGGTGACAATAATTTTGGGGATGACCGACTTTTATATGCACACGGTCAGCTCTGGCTCCAGCAGCATCACATTATGGGACGTGCTGTTGGGTGAGAATACTCAAGTAGACAAAATCCACCTGTTTCCACACCTGGTGAGGAATAATGACTGACCATATGTTTTCAACTGTGAACAGCTTTCTTCCATATGTCGGCTGGGTTACAATTATCATGACTGAGAAGCCATTTATTAAGGTATACTCATACTTACTGTTTCATGTATTTTCTCTGAAGAATAAATTAATAAAATTACTCGTTCTAGTCAGCCTACCTGAGAACATGTTTTTTTATATGTTGAGAGCACCTTACCCATTCTTCTTACTAGTTTAGAACTTTAGATTAGACAAGTAGATGAACTAATTGTTTTCTAGGTAGTTCTCAAATTTAATAATAATATTGTAGCCCCCATATTATTGAAAGAACTGCTTCAACACATTGTCTCTTGCTGCAGTACCTGCTGATTGGTGCACTGGGCTTGCTGGTCATAACAACGAAAGAGTAAAGATGTCGACCTCCATCATATAACTTGCTCTTATGGTGTGAGCAATGAACTTAGGGGGAGCTGTTCGGTTTCATGATGTATCAAACAAGAATTTTCCTTAATATGTTAAGATCATACTTTCTAATTTAATACAGTCTCTCATGCAACATCCATATTTTCATACTTCTAGTTGAAAAGAGTCTAATATGTTAACTGCAATTGATCATGATAAAGTATCCTTTTTTTTTCTTTGGGTGGGGGGGAGAGAGAGAATTACAGGTACTACCATCAAAGGGTAGTCTAATGCTGATAACCACTGGAATTTGCATGCTGCTTTAAATACCAAGCTAAATGAAAGGTTTCTAAGAACATAAGAAGTGAGACTAACTGGCATGTTTATGTGCCTCTGTGTAAACTACCCTCTTAACAAATAAGCATAACATGGCTTCAAAAGACATACTGATACATACGAGGAATTATAGAATTCCACTCTGACCTTGACATTTAACACACTGAAATAACTTAGCCAACAGATGGAGAACATCATAGGGGTTGCATTGGCAGGTATGCTGTGGTTGACTGAAAGGCCCAATTCCAATTGCAATGATCTAAAACCTGAATGACAGGAAGATGCATCGGAATCAGAAGGTAAGGAAAGAACCTGGCAGCTTCTCCTAGAGAATGCAATAAGATAGCTTGCCATCTCATCGCTTGGGTGGTTCATCCAGTCTCCAAGCTTGAACTAAGTGGAATACTCTCTGTCGGAAGCTGACTGATCCAGTTGGTGACTTCAGTGGAGTTTTTTTTTGGAAACTAACTTCAGTGGAGTTGACACCGTTCCTCGTGAGGCCAAACCTTTTCCAATTTATTGATTTGGATGCTACATATGGTCTTGTAATGAAGCCATCATCACATGCACAAATGTTCTTATCGATATTCTCTGATTTTAAGTCATGAGGTAGATATTCAGATTGGTGGTCCATTAGGACTGCCAGAACATGCCTTCTGGTGTGGTGTGGTGCCTGACCTCGAATCGTTAGACTGCGTGCGTTTTTCAGTTGTCAGTTGTCAAAGCTGGAGCAAACCTTTGTTCGGCTGCTCGTAAAGCCTCTGGTGCTGATTTGCACGGCTAATTTGTTAGAAGAGAAAAATATTGTACCATGGCTTATAAGCCGGCTTATAATGGCAGCCGAACACTCCCGACGTCCTCGTTTCCCTGTTCGGGCTTGCTTGCTTGACATGATGAAGTCGACAGGTTTTTGTGCCATCTGTTTGCCTCAAACTTTAGCTTTGACCAGTCAAGAGTGTCACTTGCAAGGCGCTGGCTCATCTGCCGACGGCCGGTGCCAGAATCCTGCGCGATGTTGAGTTTCGTTTTGGACCTCTGACTCGCGGTCTTTTTCCTGATGGGACTCCGGGCTGTTCTGCAGGTTTCATTCCATGTCCTCTAACCTCTGGTTGCCACGCTTCGGGCGGCACTTCTGGGTCGCCGTTTTGCTGTACTTTTTGCCGTACCAGGGTTACTTTTTCCATGTTCTGCCGTCTGGGTCGCCGTTTGGCTGGTCTCCGGTGAGGCGGTGATGGTGACCGTCTTTGAGGAGCCAGCTGGTATTTGTGATTTTCAGAGAGCTTTGACCTCCTTAATTTCCCATGGAACTTTTGTTGTCAAAAGAAGTGGTAGGTTGTTGCCAGAATTGTTAGGATTAATTGCTAGAGTTGTCTAAGCTTAAGGTCAAATCCTCTCTGAAAGGAAGATGCAGCGTTTTCCGTGGAACTTTTACTGCCAAAAGCGGCGGTCTCTTCATTTCAGATCATAGTTCACTTTGTTTTTGTACTAAGTTAAATTATTTAGTTTTGATCAATTTTTTAGAAAAAAATATATTAACATTTGCAAGTTCAAGAATGCACTGTCAAAATCTAATCAATGAAGAATCTAGTGAAACTAATTTGTTGTTACAAGTGATGATGTATTTTTTTCTACAAATTTGATTAAAATTAGAGAAATATGACTTAGAACAAATCCAGAGCGAACTATAATGTGTTGTTTTCATGCCAAACTGAAATTCAGAGCAGATTTTGAGAACATTTAAGGATGGGCCGGCAAACTGATTCAAGTGTCGAATTCCAGCCATAATCACATAGCCTTGTCATTGGAACAAGGGCACACAAGGCTGCAAGCTTGCAACTACACCAGAACAGAACATGTCCAACACGGCAGCAACACACACACGCATCTTCTTTAATTCGTCACTCCTAAAGAAAGGAGCAGGCAAATGCAAAAGGTGTTCGTTTCCCACACATTAGTAGTAGGTTTATTTATAGTAGTACGCCTAAAACACACACGCAAATAGTTTAATAATAATGGAGCAGACTAGCTAATCTCGTCAAACCTGTCTTTGACCAGATTCAGTGCAGAGGGGTACATTCACACGTAAGGAGCAACATTTTTGCAATGGCAACTATACCAATCTCGGAGTATGCTGCCATTCACACGTATATGTATGTATATCTTGGAGTATGTTGCCAAGTCCCAACTGTTTACTCCATAACTAAAGGTCGCCTCTCTTTCATATTATTCCTTAGTCTAAAAACAAGATCGTCTTTGCTTTTTGTCAGCTTAGGGGCCTGCGATGAAGGTGGGAATTTCAGAGACTCCCATCAAATTTATGCCGGATAGAGCCTTGATTTAGGTTACATTTCTTTTATTGAGTTAAATAGTACAGAGCTTATTTGCTGTTTTCGTCCAACTGTTTGTAATAATCTGATATTTATAAAATTAAAAGGTGGGCAACAACTCCATGTCCCATACATGTATTCCACGTGTTTCACCGAATGCATCTATGGCCGGGCATCCTCGGCACCCTATCTCACATCCAGAATTTGTAAAATAGAATCTCTGTTACCTATCTTTACTGCCTATCTACCTTCTAGTATTCTTAGATCTAAAACTAGTGCCGGAGATCCAGTTCTAGCAACCTCCTAGTCGTGGTGATCAGAACTGATCGTGGCAGACCATCCAACTTCTAAAATGGAATCTCTATTGTCTACTCTATCTTCTAGTATTCTTAAATATATAGTGGTCGGAGATCTAATTCTAGCGAAAACTTCCAGGCGATAGTCAGGGGGTGACAGAGTGGAGGAAAAAAACGGCGTTGCGCCAATTAGGTGCGATGATGAGAGCAGAGAAAATGGTTATGTCCAGAGACGCCAACATCGACATAGAATAGAAATGCCGAGAGTGGAGGATAAAAAACGGCACTAGACGAGCCATCACAAGGAGTAGTGGTAGTTCGCATATTTTTTGCACGTCGGAGGATAGATTACGAATTAGAGTAAAAAGTTGTTAAATAGAGTTTTTTCGTTTTGCCAAAAAAACAAGATTGGAAGTGAGATTACTAAGTGGCTGCAAATGCTTAGTTAAAAAAAAGACGAATCATTCTCGCATATTGTCCTCTTCACGTCGGCGACGTACACTTATCACAATCCCTCAAAATATTCTAAAGCGAGATGTTTAGCACAGTTGAAACATTTCTGCTTTCTTGACAAATATCTTATGCACCGTGTATGGAGAATGGTCCAAGAAAGATTTGATATTTCGTGTTTAAAAAACCCACAACAGTTGTCCCAAACTTGGTCACCTTTTTTCCTTATAAAAAAAATAAAAATAGTATCCAACCACACATGTTGTCTGCGATGATGAACAAAGGTGAACAAAGGTCTACTTTGAAGTTTTAAATTCGTATATTGTGTACGTAATCCAAGTGCCGCTGCAATTCCACACGTGCAGGGATCGACGCTAGCCGACATAATAGCTAGGGCGCTCATCTTGCGACACGTGTGGTTGTTGACTGAACCAAACGAACATGGAGGAGGACAATGCGAGACACCTTTTGGATGATGAAAAATAAGTGCGATTCTAGTACGTGTCAAGTGCGTCGTGCGTGACGTGATAGCTTCCTGAACAGGTTTTAACCTAGGGCCTTGTTCTCTTTTTAAATTTTTTCAACATGATGAATAGTACCACTTTCGTCTTATTTGACAAATATTGTTCAATCGTAGACCAACTAGGCTCAAAAGATTCATCTCGTGATTTTTAACTAAACTGTGTAATTAGTTATTTTTTTTACCTACATTTAATACTCCATGCAAGCAGCTAAAAATTAATGTGATGAAAAGAGAGTGAAAAAACTTGAATTTGAATGGTATCTAAACCAGGCCTACGTTCCAAAGGTCTGGACCTCTCGACACGTTGCCATTAAAGTCGCTATTATTGGAAGGTGATCTAGGTAAAAGGCCATCATAGGGATTAAGCAGCTTTTCTTTATTATTTTCGACATTATTAGGTGGTCTTTCCTTTGATTGATCGAAAGGCTGCAGATCTCACCTCTTGATGTCTCGAGAGATTAATTTCATGGCCATTTATATAACACACACACACAAGCTTTTTTTTTTCCTATGATTTCAAATTTAAGTTTAAATTTGGATCGCGTGTCCACATTAATTTATATCTCGCAACAACAAACTTAGTTCGGTGAATTAAACTTGAAATACTAGAAAAAAATGTGCTATACAAATTAAAATTGTAGGATTGATTAACATTATGTTAGACAATCAGAAGAAGATAAATGACCATGAAAGCTAAATCATTAGAAATCTTGAAAATAGCTGTCCAGCCAGACATGGCTCTCAGGTGTTCGAGATTTTGGATGTCCGAGACTAGGATTTATTGATTTTAGTATAACTAGTGCACACATTTTCTTTTAATTTCTACGAGAAGTAGTATCGCGCACGTTAGATTAGAAAAAAGGACGTGGCAGTAATAAAATCGTAACACTCTGATGTAAACGTTTCTCTGCCACAGGCTAGGTAGAGTAGCGCACTTAGCTCGATTTAATTAACCATCTTAGCGGTAGTTACCACAGTAACTAGTACTCGTCGTCGACATCGTTGTACTAGTGGAAGAACTGAAATCACGGAACGAAGCCTACTCCTACGTGCCTAATTAAGATAGTTAGGAGCAATATGCATCCATCCATCCATGTCCACCGGCTGAAAAGGTACTACACGTAAGGCAGACAAGTAGCCAGCAAATGCCATGGTCAAACGGATGTGAAACCTAACCTCATCTGGTCAAAGCAAAGCCCCCTTCAAATTCTGTTTTATTTATTTTTTGTTTCGTGAAACAAAGGAACAAATCCATTTCTTATGGAAATGTTTATGAATCTGTATTTCCCATGTTTTGATAGATTTGTTGATACAGGTGCCAAGAAAATGTAACTAAGGGTCCATAACGAACACAGGAATTTCACAGGAATCAGAATCAGTTCATTTTCATAGATAAAATGTAGAAGACAGAAATTTTTCCTCCAATCAAAGGTGCATAAACGTAGCTCCGATAGTTTAGATTCTTTTTTTGGTGGGGGGTTGGGGGGTTGGAATCGGATAGTTTAGATTCTTTTGATGAAAGCTAACCCTTCCACCAGGATTTAAAGTCTTTAATTAAAAGGGGGGGAATCGAATAGTTTAGATTCTTTTGATGAAAGCTAACCCTTCCACCAGGATTTAAAGTCTTTAATTAAAAAAAGGAGACCTTGCAGTTTTGTCGAATTAATTTACGGTGCAGCCGTGCAGGCAAGTCGATTTTCTTTATTGTACTGTCGGGGTGTGTGTGTGTTTTTAGAAATGAGTATAGGGAGTCAAAGTATTGGCACAAGTAGTAGGGAACAAAGTTTGAACATGTAGATTCCTCAGTAACCTAGAAGAAACTAGGAATGTTTACGTGCATTGCATCTAGATAAACATATGAATCACCGTGCCACTGACGGCTCAAGTGGATGCATGTCGACGGATACTTATCCATCCTCCTTGTTGTATATTGCTATTGCTTTCTCTGTTTGCAAATGGCAAATGCACATTGACATAATTCATATGTGTGCGCACGATGGAATTTGTTTAATGTCTCCAGTTAATGTTTATGAAACTATCTTGAGTTATTGACCAAGTATTTGATTGTTGTATCAATAGATCGTTGCACAAAACACTTAACGCATTGCTTTAGATATATCTTCTATAGGAGTAGCTTTGTACTTTATGTGTAAGGAATACGTATTTATTTATTTGCGATAGATGACTATATTTGCAACGACCAAACCATTTCGCTTTTCTAACCATCTGAATTGAATCCAACGGTGCCCATTTATCCCATCTCGCTTCTTGGGTGTAATGACCAATTAAAACTCCATATGATTTTTCGAAACATCTAATTTTCTATGCTTGAAACATTTTTGTTTCTAGTCAGAATGTTTTAAAAGAATACAATGTTTGCCAAAATTTTTGTTAGACAATTTTGTTTCACAAATCATAGTAAACGGAAGATGAACACGTTGTCTATTGATTAAAAGAATAACATTATTAAATCATAAACTAAATTCAAGTAAATGAAACCATCGGCTTGTCTAGTGGAGGATTTATTAGAACTCCGTGTGGACAATGTTCATAGGATGAGTGTGCGTGCGTGTTGAGCGTCTGCGTCTGTATTTGTGTAATTCGTAAAAAAAAAAAGTTCCACAACCACAAGTAATATATCACTTTTATTATTTACTTATACTAAAAAAAGTTGCAGAATGAAAAATATGGGTCTCTAGTTAATATGGTGGATAATGTCCAACTCCTTTTTTATCTTCTCTTGCTACCGAAGCTGCACGAAGCTTTCACATGTGGATATGCCACACGCAGTCACGCACGCCTATATATATGGACACACGTTGCTCGCCCAAGCCGCCAAGCGCCAGGAGCCATTTCTGAGAAAAGATCGCGCCTGTCACGTACCTATAGGCACCGACCGAGGCATCTGCGCGTTCCAGTACGTCGTGTGTGTACAGCCGGGATTGTTCGTTCATGTGCCACGCCGCGGTGGCGAACTCCGGGGAGCAGGAGCACCAGCGGCGGCGGCCTCTCGCCGCTGCGGCCACCGACATCGACGACGGAGGAGGAGGCCGCGGACAGCAGCAGGCGCTGATGCCGGGGCCGGCGGAGCCCGTGATGGAGACTGCGGCTGCGCCGTGGCAGAGCAGCAGGCAGGCGCGGGAGATGTCGGCCATGGTGGCCGCGCTCGCCACGGTGGTCGCCGGCTCGGAGCCGCCGCCGCCGGCTGCCAAGGGACCCGCGCAGGCGCAGGCGCAGGATGCATCCATGGACGAGGCGTGGTGGCCGTACGAGGACCTGCAGGTCGCCGAGCCGTCGTCGCCTGCCCGCTTCGTGCTCCAGGGTAAGTCGGTGACAGAACAGGCCGGGCAGCATATGCGTTTTTCCTTTTTGTTCCTTCTTTTCTCATGCATGCATTACTCCGTATTTTCTACGTATTATTTTATATTTTTCCTCGGTTACTTAGGCCCCGTTTGACAGGGCTTCACTTCACTAGTGAAGCCATTTTTTTTTTGCTTCAGCTCCACGAACAGCTCCACCGGTGGAGCTGAAACGGTTTTGGTAAACCGTTTGGCAAAATGGCTTCCCTGTGAGAGCATGTTTTTAGGGGCCTGGAGGAGGAGCCGGGAGAAGCCACTATTTTTGGCTCCTTCCCACCCCAAAGCTCTGTGAGAGCACGTTTTTAGGGGCTTCATCGGTGGAGCCGTTTCATTTTACCCTGTTTGGCAGAAAACGGCTCCTGAAGCCACTGGAGAAGCCCTGCCAAACGGAGCCTTAGATGTCGTGGTAGGACGCACGCGCGTTGATGATTTATCGTGCATCAAGTAGTGGCACATGTGTATTCTATGAGCTGGTTAGATTAGATGTGCATGAGAGAGCGCGGAGAGGAGGAGGGAGTCGGGGTTGGGGAGAGACAGGAGGGTTTTGCAGCGGGGGCGGAGTACTGTAGAAAGCTTCGGAGACAATCTGCACGGTCGGCCGCAGGATCGGACCGCAGGATCGGACGTGCAGTGGAATTTTAGACGACGTGGCCACCCTAGTTGGCGGCTAAAGCTCGTCGGCTTAATGATAGTAAATGTGCATGAGGTCCGTACACGGGTCGTGTAACATAAGCGTGCATGCTGCTGGCTTACGCCTCCGTGCCCGTGCGCACCCACCACATGCAACTGCTACTAGATCGTCTCGTTTTAATACGATAAATATACTCCTATACGTATAAAATGGATAGAAAAAGGCTGCTACCAACTTAACACGTTTAAATCCCTGCGACGACCCTGTGTCTTGGCTTTTCACACACTATTTTATTTTATTTTTTTGTTAATAAAAACAAGACAGCACCATCATCACACTAACAAGGTTGCTTTCAAAGGTTAACCTAGATAAGATGGGGTAAATGCATTGCGAATGCGTGAAGTGTACAACTCTGCTTCTCCTTGAGCCGGGGGTGTGGAGGAAGCAGAGCATGGCAAAAAACAGAGCACTGATAAATGCCAAATCAGAGGAGTCAAAGTATAGACCACCAACTTTATCAGCATTAGCATCACCACCATTTCTACTGCTATGCTTTTATCATAACAATAAAATACGTGCAACATTTATATCTTTAAATAAATTTATTAAAAAAACTATATTAAAAAATCTTTCCGAATATACTAATTATGGGGGGGGGTGGGTGGAGGAAGCAAATCATGGCCAAAAACAGAGCACTGATAGATGCCAAATAAGAGGAGTCAAAGTGTAGACAACCTAACTTTATCAGCACTAGCATCACCACCATTTTTGCTGCTATGCTTTTATCTTAATAATAAAGTACGTGCAATATTTATATCTTTAAATAATTTTATTAAAAAACTATATTCAAAGATCTTTCTAAAGATACTAATTATGTATCGTAATTAATAATATTTTTAATATATATTTAGTCAAAGTTATTTCTTGAAAAACGAAAACGACCATTATTTAGGAAGAGAGGGAATATGCCGTATATACAGCACTAGAAATGGCTGATGTTAAAGATTTGGACTGAGAGTCTGAGCCTGTAATTTCTTAAACGCTCATGAAAAAGAATAACCAATCTCTGTTCTCTGTGACCTTTCATGCAGGCTACGACGCGACGCAGCCGCGCGAGCAGTACTGGCCTGCGGCGGCGACGGCGGCGGCTACCTACTCGCACACGCAGCACGGCGCCGCCTCTGCCGCGGCGGATGATGAGCTCCCGTCCCCGTCGTCCGCCGGGGGTGGCAGCACTAGCAGCAGGGCGGCGGCGCCAGCGCGGAAGCGGTACCGCGGGGTGCGGCAGCGACCGTGGGGGAAGTGGGCGGCGGAGATCCGGGACCCACACAAGGCGGCGCGCGTGTGGCTGGGCACCTTCGACAACGCCGAGGACGCCGCCCGGGCCTACGACGGCGCCGCGCTCAGGTTCCGCGGCAGCCGCGCCAAGCTCAACTTCCCCGAGTCCGCCATGCTCCCGTCCACGCCGTCTCCGGCGACGGCGACCCACCACCACCAGCCTCTGACTCCAGCACCGCCGCCAGCCAGGCCGGAGGCGCTGCTGGAGTCTCAGGCGCTCCCCGCCGGCGGCAGCAGGGACCCCTACTTGGACTACGCCAGGTTATTGCAGAGCGGCGGCGGCGGTCCCAGCGCGTCGTCGGGGACTCCAACTCCGAGTGTTACGTTACTGCCTCCTCCACCACCTCCACCTCCTGCTGCAGCTGCGGCGTACGGGTTCAGAGCAGAGGCCGAGACCCTCGGGGGCTACGGCTACCTGTCGCCGCCGCAGAGGCAGAGCCGCGCGGAGCCAGGAAACCACCCGCCGCCGGCGTGGGCGGGCTTCGACAGCTCGTCGTGCCCACCGCCGCCGCCGTGGCCGTCGGACCAGTCAGGTTGACCACAGTCAACGCAAAAGGGCGCCCCGGGGGCCCACCCACCCACCCTCTCAAAGATGCTGCTGACGTGTGTTCAGACGACGGGGTGGTGGGCCAGGGCGGCACAAGAGGAGAGGAGAAGCCACGTGAAGCCTCGCTCTCACTGACACACGGGCCTGATATTGCCGTCAACTGCTGTTGCCGTCAAGCCGTGCGGCGGTCAGACAGTTCAAACGGCAACCGGGTCGCATGGACGGCAGCGCGGAATGGAGCCCCCGTTTTGCTTGGAATGGATCGACAACTGACAGGGCGGCAAGGATTTCCTTTTTTTTTAATCTTTATTTGTTATATTGTTTTTATTTGAATATAACACGTGAGTGTTTTCTCGGAAAATTTTCCATTCAGATGACCCTTACAACTGACACAAGTTGATGGCAGCGAATCTGTGGGCTCGCTCGAACCTAGCTTTGTGGATTTATTTAGGAATTCAATATTGTTTTCACGAAACAAAGAACAGTGCCACACTGCCACTGATTGGATATAAAAGACAGCTAATGCAACAAGGATAAAATAAAACACAACTATATATTGACTCAGCAATATATAGACGACCCATGGTCCAATCTTATAAAGGCCAAAAGGTTAAAATCATATCCGCATCAGTAGTCGTCCAACTAGGATTAGGCCAACAACTGGTTAACGATTAAACCAACCAGGAATGATCTATGCTGTTTAATGAGAAGTATGATGCAACTTTCAAATTTCTACTTAACTAGCAAAGTAGCCCGTGCAAATAGCACCGAGTAATTAACTAGCTTTTTAATAAAACAATTTGTGTATTTTTATTTGAACATAATTATACTTGAGTATTTTTTATTTTGTCAATTAATTATAGATGTTTGGTCATATACCATATCTTATACTCTTATAAAGTAAAATCTCTACTAGCAATTTTTCTCAACCCATGACCCTCCACGTCATCATTCCCTCCTGGCCCACGCACCCACCTCCACCCCGTACACCCACGCATAACATGGTCCGTCTGATTTGATTAACTAACGTCATCATTACCTCGTGGCTCACGCATCCACCTCCACCCTGTACACTTACGCATAACGTTGTCCGTCTAATTTCATTGACTAACGTCATCATTTCCTCCTAACCCACGCATCCACCTCCACCCCGTACACTCACGCATAACGTTGTCCGCCTGATTTCATTGACTAGCAAGATCTCTACCGTTCATACCGAACAGCCAGTATCAGCATTAATATAGTACTGCAGTTACTGTAGAGCTAGGATGCTTCGGTTTGGTCTCAAATCAATGGGCCTGTTCGGCACGACTGAAAAATACTATTCTGGTTGATTGTTGTGAGAGGAAAATACTGTTCTGACAAAACATGAATAGTGATTCCATGAGTTTGTTGGCTAGTCAGCCAGTCGGCTTAAAGCCAGCCGAACACGCCCAATGGCAACACAAATCACGTCAGAACTGCCATCCACTAAATCATGTGGAAACTCCCTCCACCACCGTGGAATCAAAGTGATCCATTGGAATAAACCCCGCACTCACATAGTGCGCATATATATATATATATACTATTTTGCTATAATACATCTGGTACATCATGTATATAGAATGCATCCAGACCGGCGGGCACACCAACTTGGAGCAACCAGCGCGCCCAAGCGAATACATGCATGTATGTAATTTTTTGTTGGTTCGAATCTTTAAAACAAATTTTCTCCTAAACTGTAACCCCGAGTGACAGACCGTTTATTGCATCCGACTTAAAAAAATATTCTGAACAAAACTAGATCCAATATGGATATATTTTTTATCCTTTAAACGAGTTGCATGTTAATGTACTACCGATTCCAACTCTGTCTACCACCGAGTTGCAACTACTAGATTATAATTAGTTGCAACCAAGCAAAATACCTTCTGACCAAGTTGCAATTGTGTCGTTGTACAACATATTGCAATTACGTATTTAAAAAAACTTCATCAAATACAAACCTTCATTGCAACCAAGGTAAAATACGCTAGCAATTGTGTTGTAGAAGTGCTTGCAACTCATAGTACAACAGCCTTCATTGCAACCAGTGCTAAATACGCTACATCCAAGTTGCAATTATGTTGTAGAAGTGCTTGCAACTCATAGTACAACATATTGTAATTACGTATTTGAAAAAAAAACTTCATCAAATACATCCTTCATAGATCTCGTTTTGTTAAGCATATTTTTTTTTCAACAACCTACTTCAAACAGAACTAAAATCACATATATGGTTTAGAAGATATCGCATTTTTTCGTTTGGAATCAACAAAAGATTCTCTGCATGCATGCTTTCTACTGGGTGGGTTAAGCTGTTACGTGGCATCACGTAGTTGGTTGTCTCCATTTAGTTTTGCATGCAAGAGCGTGGACTTACCTCGCGCTCGCGTGTCGGGTGCACTCGTTTCACAGAATGCACCCAGGTGCATTATATATATATATATCTTATTATCAAACCGGAAGACTTTGGCCAGCTCTCAGACCATCCACGTCACCCCGATTAATTCAGTCGTTAGATTCTTAGATCAGCGCTCCTGGTTGCTCCCACCGGCTTCTACAATGCCCGCCTTGGAATATCTTCTCCCACCGCGTCCGCAGTTAGCCTCCCGTCATGTCTCCCTCGACCTCTCCGCTCGGATGCGGCGCCGCCCTCCTCCTCCCTCGCGTCGCTTCCTTTTGGTGCCTGGCAGCGGTGGCCGCCCTCTCCGCCGCCGCCGCCATACTCCTCCTCCCGCACCACCACCACCACCACCACGCCGCTTCCTCCTCGTGGCGCAAAGGCAACGGTCGGTCGCGTGACCTAGGGTTTAGGGTTTGCCTCGTCGCCCGGTCGTCCCCACGGCCGCACGGGCAGCCAATGCACCCTCGTTGGACTCATGGTCTCATGCACACCTCCTCGTCTCCACCGGATCCGGCCGCATGGGCTCCATCGATGTTGGAAAGGAGATAAAGGGATTTTTGCAGGCACCTTCCTGCTCAATTTGCTCAAATTTCAAATAGAACCTTGTCCTATTTACATGGACAATGATCTCTCACCACCACATGTCTAAATTCAATCCTAGATCGATCCTATTGTATGCCTTTAATTATATGCCACACAAAGCTCTGTAGTTCTCACGGTTGAGTTTGCGCTTCTTGTGTGTTCATATATGAATATATATATCATATGTGGATCATGTGATTTTATGAAAAGATAAGTGGTAGATCAACTCACCAGTAACATTGTAGCACCATCAAGAATTATCTCTATATTTTTTAGGAACCCTCGTTGCAAAAGAAGTTCCAGCCATTTTGTAATAATAGCTTTGAAAGTGATCACATGCTGCACAGCAAAGTGATCACCTTATCGATTTAGGGCCTGCATCTTGTCGCCTATATTTATAGGAAATAACCGCTTTTTGTACGCCTAATTGTTTAGATGCAACCAAAAAAGATGTTTGACTCAATATAGATCCATGATGAGAGTCAATTTGGCAAAGATTGTGTGAAGAAGTCATATCAAGGTACACTTTGTCAAGCTTAATTTTTTAGTGCACTTTTGTTGTTCAAAATGTAAACATTTCTCTTTAAAATTTTCTTAAAACATGGAGAGGACCCTCTACCAATTCATGATGCTCAGAAGAGGTAAATATCATTCTTTACAAATAGTACACACAAGATTTCGAGAGTCAAATCAGCTCACTATTGTTTTTGGATATTTAGTGTAACATGGAATTGTCCTTTCCCAGAGCAATTTTTCTCTCTCTGTGTATTGTAGAGAGTTTATTAGTTGATCATGGACGCTCAAAGAGGATTTAGTAACTCTTTTTTCCTTCCGCATTTTTATGTACCTTTATTTTGTTTTTTATTCAATGTGTTCCACATATTCGCTTGACTTCACTTATCCGGAAGCTAACTTCAGCAGGTTCCAAGGCTCAAGACCTATATGACTATAGAGATGGAAAATGGGTTTGATCCTAAATTTGATTCACAACTCAACAGATTTAGCAGTCAATTTCCACCTCTTCATTCTTTGTTGGGGATTTGATTTTCATGCGGCCTTCCTACTCCCTCTTGATGGAAAACTGGACGTGCGGGGACATATATATATGCTTGATACCTTCAGTTCAGTTCCAAGATTGATGAAAGCCAATGATCAAGAGGCGCTACAGATTCCATGGCAGCCCGGTATGCATCATGGACCTTTGTAATCCTCATTTTGAAACAAAGCTTTCTCCCAATTCTAGATGAACCCTCATTTGATACATTTCTGTTCATTTTCTGGAATAATATTTATCTGAGATGCATTATTTCCTCTGAATACCCGAAACTAGGGCCATCTTCAAGTTATTAAATTCAGATATTGCAGCAAGTTGTTTTTTCTTGGCTCGATTTTCAGAACTATTGGACCAGCCAAAACAGTAGTGCTCCAATGGGTACATAGAAATACTTTCAGAACTATGACACTAGCACTAGCAAGGATTCGAGGTCTTGGAGCCAGTGGCCCTATGGGTACATAGAAATACTTTCTTTTATCCGCCGGTGCTCATGGTCTTTTCTTGCATGTGCTCCAGAGATCGAACACATGGCAGATCATACCTTCCTTTGGGTCCCATTAATCATCCACTGTGTTAGGTATTTTATTTTCCAAATCACCAAGCGTGTTGTACTTCTATGTTGTGTACCCCTTTATTTTTCCTTTTGCATGATTCCAGCTGCCATGTTATTTACGATCTGTTTCGATCTTTACATATTGTACAATGAGTTGTTGAAATTTTAACCGTCTCTGTGTCAACAGGTTCAGGTTATGTATCATTTTTATTATCTACAGGGTTTGATTCTAACCCTTTTTGAGTTGCACTTTCACATATGGATTTTGTTTCAGTGTTCCAAAGGGATTTAGAATATATATATATATATATATATATATATATATATATATATATATATATATATATATATATATATATATATATATATATATA